CGGCGGCGGGCGGCGCGGGTGGGCGGCCGCGGGCGCTACCCGCACAGCCTGCAGTTCTACCTGGCGCCGCCGGCCGAGAGCGTCTCGCTCGCCGAGTTCGAGAGCTTCGCCGTGGACCGCCTGCGCCGTGAGTGCCCCGGGGCCGGCTGCGGGCCAGCAGCGCTCGTGGGAGCGGGAAGCGCAGCAGATTGGGCGGCGAGTCAAGGGAGGGACCCTGGTGCTCTGCCCAGCATCGGCCGGGCCTCGCTTGCCGCCTGGGGTCCTGTCAGTCCTGGTGGTTGGTGCAGCGGGGTCCTGGCTGGGGCCTGCAGCTAATGGGGAGTATGGCCCCCGCCGGTCAGGAGTTGGGCAGCCCTTACCTAAAACTGGTAGGGAGGGTGGGGTAGGTGAATGTGAAACACTTGTCACCCTCCTTCGCTGCCTCAAATGGTTTTTAAGACCTAGGAGATAAAGCCTTGGCTGGGGTGATCTGGTTGGGGTTGGTCCCGCTTTGGACTGTATCAGTGGGTCTCAACTTTTTTTGTCAGGCCCCATTTGTAAACATGGATGGCCAGTCCCCACCCAGTGAGTAGCTGAAGTAGAAAACAGTCCCCGGGCCCTGCTGATGCCCCCCACTCATGACCCCCAGGTCCCAGCCCCCTGGTGTGTGTGTGGGGTAGCAAGGGAAAACCCACCATTTCTCATGTTTTTCTCTGTTGAAGGAGAATCCAGTTTTAACGTTTGTTTGCAGCCTTTTCTTATATTCTTGCTACCCATGGGTTGAGAAAAGCTGGACTAGCTGATCTCCTGAGGTTCTTTCCAACCCAAATTTTCTATGATTCAGTACTGTCACATTTCAACAGAACCAAAATTGGGTAGAATGCTGGGCCTGCCTGCTTTCCTCCTCCTTTTCTTTCTTTAAAACAATAATTAGATTTCTTTTCTATATTATACTAGGTGCTCATACTGCTCTTTGTTTTTTTTATTTTTAAATTACTTTAGTACTCAAAGTAGTTGAGAATCTTGGTGTGAAATACCTGAAAGGTACTGATGACTACAAAAGCAAGCTGGAACATGAACTTCGAAAACTTAAATTTCCATATAAAGTAAGTAATTGGAACAAGAACCTTTCCTACCTTTGTGTCCACATTGTGTCTTCTGTGGAAAATTTTATATATATATATATAGCAGCCTTAGTGTGTTTGTCTGTAATGGGTTATTTGCACTCAGATTGGTTATTTCAGACAACCAATCAGAGTGCTCCAAGAGCATTCAGGACAGGAGGTGGCAGCCAGAGCACTGCCATGGTGGTGGGGACAGAGAAGATGGGTGTGAGGCCAGGGAGGAGCGGGCCTGGATGAAGAGTGGGGTGGGACATGGGGCTCAGTCCCTGCCCGCCCTGGTTGTTCTTGATGGGCAATTTTCTAGTTGTGAATAATAATACACTTATAGAATTTATATGCTGGGCACTATTCAAGAATTCAACCAATTTTACAGAAGCAAGTTTTCCTTTTTTTTCCTGTATAATTTAAATACAGTTTTTGTTCTTACTTATTTGGATCAGTTTGGAATCTTTCATTTGTACTGAAGTTAGTGCAAATTTAGGGTCTGCAAGATAATGTTCTGCAGTCTGTAGCGCTTTGTAATATGAAGAATAAATTCTAATTTGCTGTTTTCAGCTAGCAGTAGTATCAAAAGGATAGCCACTGTAGTAATTAATACCTTGCGTTACCAGGGGTGACTGGTGCCTCCTGAGTTGGGGGTTGGGGGGGGGCACAATTTGTGAGTGGGTCCAGGGGTGGGCCAAAAGCCCCATATCCACTCCTATATCATGCTTGTGGCTTAGTGCCTCCCCCCCCAACATGCCACCAGCCTATGTGGCAAGGAAACTGCCTGATCCTGCCTGGTGCCAAGTAGGGGGCCAGTCTCAGGAAGGGGGCACGTGTGTTACAATTCTACAAAGTATTTAATGATAAATATCTTTGAGTTATATGATGTGAAAGTTGAGGTTTAGTATTTAATTAACTTCTTAAAATTAATTTTCTTTTTCTGCTCTAAGCTGATGCATGTCCTCTTTTATGAAAATTACAGGCTTTGGCTGAAGATGATTATGATGCAAGGAGGAAAGACCACATCTCTCATTTCATACTGCGTCTTGCTTATTGTCAATCGTAAGTGTGTTTTTGAGTTAATATGTATTTTAATTTCTAGCATGTTGATAAAAATTAAAGTGTGATGGCTATTTATTAAGAGAGTGCTTTTCTTTGACTTGGGTAAAGATGTGGTCTCAGTTTAGAAACTTGGTCAGGAAAAATTTCATATTTGAAGTGAGATGTGCAGGATGAAACCTGGAGGATAATTATGTTTATACACCGATGAAGCATAAGTAGATATCACCACAATTATTATGTACCAATTTAGTGTGTTTCTTTAAAAAGCATTCAGGATTGATCAGTCTTTTCCATTGGCTTATGTTCTCATTGATAGTCAGGGTTGAGTGCTTTTGACTATTGTTCCCAGTATTAGACAGGTCACTCTCTAAATATTGTGCGTGTTACATACCACACCCATGCACCTTATTTTTGAAAGGCAGAATGAAGAAAAAAAGAGCTTCCCTTGCAAGTGCTGTAAGTGCGGTATTTTTACAGGGAAAACACTGGCAGCTGGATTTGGTATGAAGGTGGGGGTGAGCAAAAACCTGTGGCTGCTCTGTTAGCTACCTTGCTGCAGGATGTGGCAGGCACTGTTGGCTGAGCTGAACTTCTTGAGTCCTCTTTCTTCTCAAGCCGAGGCAGAAGAACAGACAGATGTGCTGACTGAGTCAGCTGAGAGCTCACCCAACTCAAGAAGAGGAGTGAACACTTTGGCTCTAATAAGATCAGGCCCTCACCTGATTCTAGGTGTTACTGACTGTCCACTCAGCTCAGCTTGAGAAGAGAAGAGGGGCTAGGGAGTTTGACTCATCCAGCGGTGCCTACCTTGTCAGCTTAGGGCCCAGTCTTGCTCTAGCTGAGCTACTGGGCCACTCCTCAGTTAGGTGAGCCCCCAGCTGATGAGACCAATGCCACTGGCTATGTACCTGGCTCAGGAAGAGTGAAACAGTATGGTTACCACAGGATTGGACTGTCTTTCCCTGCTTTTTTTCATTTAAGCTATGCATCCCAATTTCTAGCTAATTTTCAGGAAAAGCCACCCATGTTGTACTTGAGTAAACATGGCAACTCACCAATTATAAATCACTCCCTGGTACCAGTCCTACATTCATTCATTAAACAGTTGTCTAGGTACATAGTTGGCTGTTACCTCTAGCTCACAATGTAAACAGCCTTGGCTTTGTCAAGGTTGATCCTATCAAATATTCCTGTGGCTCTAGGTGGCATTGTGCTGTGATGCCATGTTACTCCTTGTGTGCTGTTTCCTGAGCTGGCAATAGTACATCTGTCTCTGGTGCAGTGCTGTAGGTGATAAAATTAGCTTTGCTTCAGGACTGTGCTAGATAGCCTGGATGCAATGCATGTATTAACATAGCTGTACTGATTCTGGCTTGGGAGGGTGCATATGTGGAGTTAGCTTTGGGTGGGTCTTCACAGTGCTTTTATGTATCTCTATAGTGCTGTACTAATGCAGCCACACAATATTACTGGTTCTGGAAGTCTTATGGACCACTTTATACAGGTTAAGGTAGACTGGGATCAAATGTGAGAACCTCTGAGATTTTAGCTTTATCTAGTATAATTCCTTTTGTTTTCAGTCTCTGTACTTGCTGCTCTATTTACTCAAATCTAAGACACTACTGAATTTAAGGTGACCCTCTAGTTATTAGATTTTATACATGGAAAACTAATTTTAAAAATGATAAATATTCTATGTATGGAATCTAATTATGCTGGGGGGGTTATCTTTAATTTACTCCCCCCCTCCACTGCTGCAGGGGGGCAGGCAGTGGAGAGGCAGGTGGTATGGGAACGTTAAGAAGATTGCTCCCTGTTTGTGCCTGCCCCCCAGGCCTCTGCTTCTTCTTTCCCTCCCTTTAAGCTTGTTCTGTGTTGGCAGGCTCTGTTCCAGTTCTAGGCTGGGGCACTGAACATGGTCCAGCCTAACCCCATAGCACACCACTGGGGCTTTGCTCAGTACCCCCAGCTGTAGTGCATGGACAGGGCCTGCCAGCACTCGGCAAGGGTAAGTGGGACAGGGGCAGATGAGGGAGCAGGGGTTGTGGGTGGGGAGGAGATAGCAGGATGCAGAGGCAGCAGGGGGTGTAGGCAGCAGCTGCAGCCATGGCCCTGACCCAAGGTAGGAGCTTGAGCCTTGGCCTCAGCAGCTGCCTGTCCACTTCTTAGTACTTGATTCTAAGATGAGGCTTCTCCCCCTGGTTAAATGGTGGAGAGAGGGAACAGAATTGAGTAAATACAGTATATAGCTTAAATTTCACCAATAATAAGTTAGAGGATAGATCATGCGATAAAAAATGTATTGGATGTTGGCTTTACAAGAAAAATTACTGTTTGAATTGTGTCAAATCAAACAGGTTGTTAGAGCTAAAAAAAAAAAAAAAAAAAAAAAAAAAAAAAAAAAAAAAAAAAAAAAAAAAAAAAAAAAAAAAAAAAAAAAAAAAAAAAAAAAAAAAAAAAAAAAAAAAAAAAAAAAAAAAAAAAAAAAAAAAAAAATTCTAGTGAATACAATTTTACTTCACCTTCCTGCACGTGACAGCATCTTGTTTCAGATTTTCTTCCGTAATTCTTTGTTGGAGTTCTTACTATTTTAAAAAGAAAACATTTATCCTAAATCACAAAGTGATTTTTGGACAGAACTTGTCTCCCTCTTGTCTTCTTTTTAGAGAGTTTTGGCAACATGCAATTTTATCCTAATATTCTGGAGTTTCATAGTTTCATAGTTTCTAGGGTCGGAAGGGACCTGAGCAGATCATCTAGTCTGACCCCCTGCCATGGCAGGAAGAGCACT